GTTCTAATGGAAATGAATTATGCCTTGTCACTGTATTAATGACGTAAACCTGCCCCCCCCACCATCTCCAACACACACACACACACACACACACCTACATATCGTCTGAATATAAGCCACAATAACCTTGTTTGTTCCGTAGCTAGTAAAGCGTGATGTTGACACTGCGGTGGTGAGAAGGACACTCCGACTGTTTCACTCCGCGGCCACTGCAGCGCTCACAGAGACACATTCATCTGATGCACTTCCTCTGACACCAATATATTATTTACAAAGAAAGCGCAGCCCTTGATGAGCTCTAATTAAATGTGGGGGGTGTGGGAGGGGGAATTTGATTGGCAGAAAATATGGCGGCATGTGACAGACATCTGGTGGAAGAAGAGGTGAGCAGGCGTTTGGTTGAGCCCGGGGAAAAAAAAACAGAAAAACAGAGACTCTTGTGTGGTTGTACAGTAGAGTAACACTGGAGGCTGAACCTGAGGGTTAAACTCTGTCAATCAAGCTCGCTTCAGCTGTCACGGTTCACAGGACGCCAGGGCGGTGGAGGTGGAGGTGTGTGTGTGAGCCGTGTTACGGGCTGATGAAGCAGGCGGTTCATAAATGTGTCTTTTCTTTTTCCTAACTTTGAGTTTTACGTTGTTCCTGTGCAGCTTTTCCTCAGTGAATCACACTGACGGCAGGTCATACCTGCATTCACTGCTTGAGAAACAGCACAAAACAAAAACAGCACAAACCCCCTAGGGCTGCAGGTGTAAAAGGGAGAAAAACTGAAATTAAAACCGGGGAGCTTAGCTTAGCTTTGGCTTCAAAGTCTTTTTTTTTCTTTCTTTTTATGTGAAAACAATGAAGGACATTTCAGTATAAATGATATGGGCTGGAATATTTTTTCATCGAGCCAACTTTTTATGACCACCGCTGGTGTCCTGGTGTTATGCTGTCCAGTATTATTACAAATAACTGTCACGGCCCCCGGGCAGACATTTTCTGAGGGATGTACATCCAACTGAACTGAGACAAAACAGTGGCCCTGTGCCTACAGTATGGTAGGTTTGTTGAGTGTTAAAACAAACCTGTTACAGTCACGTTGGCCCAGTAAACAGCCTGGCACTGTCACAGTAACAGCACTTAGTAATGACAGTGTTTAAAAAAACAACCCAGATATGTATTTGATTTAGGACCACAGATAAAAGTTGCTCGAAAAGTTGGATTCGTGATGCCACTGATTGCCAAAAAAATTGACCTGCAGTGTGAACGCAGTGTAAGTGTCTCTTCTAGTGTCCTGGTGATGGACCGGTCCAGTGTGTTGCCCCGCCCTCTGTTGCCCCAGTTTGATTGCTGGGATTGGGTCCAGCTCCCCACCTCGACCTTGAAGAGGATTTATTCAGTAGAAGATGAATGGATATGAATATTCAGTTGTTTTCCACTTCTCTGAAGCCGTGAATGTGCTGCCACCTCTGTCCACCCGACGACATCATCACGATGTCTTAGTCTTCATGTCTCGTCTCTGAGTTCAAACCATCACGATGTCTTAGTCTTCATGTCTCTGAGTTCAAGTCCAACAGGCCTTTTAATCAGACACACCTTAAACATCACATACCTGGAGGAAGGCTGCGAGTTATTTAATGAGAATGTAATTAAGACGGGCATTAGTAAAAGATTAAAGAAGAAAAAGATAATTAGACAACATCAAACATTGTGTTACAATGTGTTACTTTAATCCAGTCTTTTATGTGCCAACGATAGAAAGGACACTCTGCAGGATCCTCAGGCTTCAAACCTTCCTCTGTCGGTGCTTCATTAAGGCACGATGCCCATTATGTGGAAACCCTGTAAGGTGGCTACAAATTTAGACTCCTTTTAAGTGTGTGTGTTGTATGGCATTTTTATGAGCTGAGGGTTCCTACAGGGAGGGGGGAGGGGCTGTCTCTGACTGGAGGGAACCACCGGGGGAGCAGGAGATAACAGTAAATGTTTCATATTTTATCTGAAAGATAATTCTTCTGTTTCCAAATTGCTCATGAATAATATTCATCTAAAGACCACCTCGGAGGGAGGGCTCCTGATAAAGTGTGTTTTTCTTTGTCTTTGAAATTTACTTTTGTGTAACAGTCGTCGGCACAGACGCTCAGCAGGGAGTAAAACATCGCTCTCCTGTTTCCATAAGCCTGCAGTCATGTTAATATTAGCCAGACTAATACATATCATTAAACACACAACTTTAAGTACAGCCGACCCAATGAAATAACCTTTTTTTTAGTCCTTTGTTTGTTCAGAGAGCCTGTTGAAATGCATTGCTTGGTTACTGCTGCCTCTACATTGGTCTGTATTTATGAATATGGATTTTTATGGAACTTGTTGTTGTCGAAGTTAAATTAAAACCTTTCCTTTTATATAGGAAATATGTCTTAAACCAATAGTATATGTACAAAAATAATGCAGTACTTCATTCAATACACCTTGTTAGAGTAGTGGTTAGAAAGGCTGCTGTGAATATGTCCCTGAACGTGTCTCTGGACTACAGAAGGTAGAAATGTTGAATTTTTTCTTGCATGAAAAACAACCCGTGTTCACTGACTATTTGAAGTGATTTATTGTGTAACATAAACCTAAATACACTCCTCACTAATTGTAGTAAAATCAGTCAAAAAATATTTAATTTCTTGTTATAATTATAAATAAGACCACTAATTGTAGTAAAATCAGTCAAAAATATTTAATTTCTTAATTGTTATAATTATAAATAAGAATGTTAAATAATAAAATTACAATATTTTGACTGTAAAGCAGAGGTTACTGGGGAATTAGAGAAAGATGAAGCAGAAAATAATGAAAGTATTTGGTTGTACACGGCCAGACTACATAGAATAGCTGAGGATGACTCTGGAGATGAGGAGGAACGGCACGTTAGCTCCTATGGATTAGCTGCTCCTCATTCCCAGGCCCTGCTGCACCCTGCAGATGTGCAGCTCTGACATTACAGGTAGCCAGCAGCAGTCGTGTCTTAATTACCAAGCCAACATTTGATCAATAAATGAGGAACGATGGAGACGGAGGTGTAAAAACAGCCTTCACAGTTGAACGGCTCTCCTTACAGCGACTCAAACGCTCACATGCGGTATTTTTACAGCAAGCCACAAAATGCCAGTTTTATGGAGTTATGATCTGTTAGAGATTCTGTGATTATTAAAAGGAATCTGTTGTTATTCTCTGATATTGCCTGCTGGTGCTGCACCTGAAGCTCAGAACTCACCGGTCTGTTTCAGTCACTGTTGGTGCTGAGCCGGTTTATCTTCAACTCTCTCTCTGGACGCCTGTGGGTTTAGCTTTCTCACAGTGACTTTTTTTTTTCATGCCCCCGCAAAAAATAATGTATTGAAACAGAATGTATTTTTTAAATAGCATTGTACATTTTCTTGATCTGGTTTTATGCGCGTGTGACAGAAGGAGTAACTGCTTATTACTCTTTCTGGAGTAGTTTAGGACAAGATAAGTATTCTGGGATAAGACTTTCACATTTGGTTGTAGGGGAGCAGCACAGATATTCCCCAGCAGCTTCAGCAGGTCCCCCCCCCCCCCCACCTCACCTCACCTGCCTGTACCCCCCCTTGTCAAGTGAGTTACTTATACACCGCTGGACAGAAATTGTATGTTTATTTTCTTTCCTTTCTTACTGCAAACTTTCTGTGGGAAATTGAATTTGAAGCCCAGGGCCAGGTGGGGAAAATTGAGGGAAATAACTTATTTTCTTCTCCCATAAAACCTTTTGCCACACGTTTCTAATGAATGGCAAAATAAGATATCTATGGGGATCTCAATCTCTGCTGCGGAGCACATTCAGTAATTTATAACTCAATTCATGTTTTAGTGCAGGAATTAGAGTTTGTTGACTGCAGTAAGTATATATACCTGACACAAAGAAATGCTGTGGAGGGAATATAAACATAAAGTAATCTCAAACTCAAAATCTAAAAAAAAAAAAGAGTTTGACAGAGTAAAAAAAAAACTACTCATCAACAAACACAGCAGGGCTGGAACTAAGAGCAACAACATGACGGTACATAAAGTCCCCATGTTTTCGTGATGTGTCCCCGACGATTACGATTTAATCAGCTGCAAATGCTTTTAATTACAAGATCAGTCTCCTACCAATGAGCTAACATCGCTAATGGTTTTAATCTGGCATTGAAGTTGACTGAATTCTAATTAGGGACTAACTGTTTCAATTCACTTAGGGCCCATCTAATGGGGTCGTTACCAACCTAGTTTTCTCCTATAAACCAACCGCAGCAGGCAACACTGGCTCCATTTAAAGAGCAGCTGTAGAAGCTTTACGACCGTCGTGTGTGCCGTTTCCATGTGCCGTGAAACAACAATGTTTCAATTCCCTGAGAATCGCGGAGACGTTTCTGAGGAGACTCACTGGACATGTAATAACCTGCGGAAACTGCGAGGTGCTCTAATGATGTTGTGTCTGGAAGTCTTGATTACAGAAACAAGACATAGAAAAAAAATCTTCGTGACTTTGTAGGTTCAGTCTCAAGTGAATCTGACACACGTCAAAATCAAGAGACAAAATTTTAAGGAAAATGTTTAACATGAAGTCATTATTTAACAACAGTGAATGTCAGACGGCATGGCCTTTTTTGTTTACTAGCCAGGATGGTAGTGAAACTTTCCATGTTGCTGAAGATAGATTTTGGTTCCATGTTTGCATTTGAAAAAGGCATTTTTAAGAAGTTGTAAAGGGGAAATAAACCGAGGAGTTCTTACCTGCCCTGTACCTTGATGTCAGAGATGGCGTAGAAATATCTGGACAGGTTGTTCTCATCTACCATGGTGGCTCCAGTGGCCGGTTTTAGCAACCTAATCCTCAAATCAGTGATGGTGAAGAAGTCCCTCAGGTTCTTGGTGGTATCCAGTTGACCGTACAGTGAGGCCATATTGTGTAGTCGAGGCCCAGCAAACAGGGCAAAGCGGTCTTTAATCTCAAAACGCACCGTCTTGTCGTACTTCCACACATAGCCTCTGGAGTAGTCCTCAGTGCAGATGATGTCCAGCAGAGTGCGCTGCGTGAGGTCATTCACAGTCTTGGGTTCCATGGTGAATGCGTCCAGGCAGTCGGTGGCATAAAACTGGTAAGGGGTCCAGGTTCGCCCGTAGTCGAGCGACTTTTCCAGCACCATCTGCTCCGGTCGACCCGACTCAAAGGTCAGGACTATGTCGTCAGTCAACTCAATGGTCTTGTTCCATGACAGTGTGATGTTGACCTGCAGAGGCTTGGGGTATTTCTTCCAGGAGGTGGACTGCCAAAACGTTGTTGGGTTACGACCCTCAAAGTCAAACATCAGTTCAGGAGGATGAGCCAACTCCTCAGTGGTGGCATCACATTCATTGTTGCACATGTAAGGATTTTCCTACCAGAAATGGAGAGAGACAGATGCACGTGTCAGAATATTCAGTACATATATATATGTGTGTGTGTGTATATAAGGTCCAAGTTTAAGTCTGGTCTCCAGGTCCCTAATTCTCCAGCACCTTTTCTGGCGACTGTTGGCTCGTTTGGCCTTGAAAGGTTATTCTCTTTTCTCTGACCCGTTTGCCTTCTTCCCTATTACAATTCCACCATTGCATTCAATAGGATTTGTAGTCTGTTTAAACCACTGTGTGTATTTTATAATCTGTGCAATGTTGGCCGCAGAGCCACACAAGTCAGTGACCCTCTCATTAAGATGACACCAGATCCCATATTCTCCTACAGTTAATTCAAACCTTACACTGCCCCCTGCGTCGCCCATGTAATTGAAATTCCTGTGCGGTGTTCCAGCTCAGATGGGAATGGAATTCTGATGAGCATTTCGTATAAATTACAAAAAAGGGAACATATATTTTTCAAGGATCTGCGTCTCTTCGGTCTGAATGTGTGCATGTGCATGTATGTGCTGAGAAAGGAGAGCCCTCCATGTGTTTGTGTCGGTCTGTGACGGGGGTATTAAGTGATGAATGTGTTTGCCTGTGTGTGAACACGTCGGCTTTATCAGAGTGTGTGGGTAAAAAAGACGAAGAGTGAGAAAGAGAGAGAGACAGGGATGGAAAAGAAGAGAGGTATTGACATTCCTCTCACCTCTTCTCCCGGAACAATGAGGTTAAGTGCTGATGAGATTCAGATCATCTGGAAAGCTGTTCAATAATCAGCAATCATCACACAGTCTCCTCCCAAAATCATCCAGCAACACTGAAAAAAGAACTGCTGTTTGTAACATCACCATCTTATATTTCCACTACTGCCGCGTGTTCCTCCCAGACTGACGCCAGATCATCGGCAGCTGTGGCGATTAGCGGGTGCGAAAGATCTTTATTCAGAAACAAACAAACAACAATGGCTGCTTTTTGTCTGTGAGTGAGAGCACTGAATTATAGTCTCAGTGTTTGTCTCCATTTTCTTCAGGGAACAACATGTAAATGACTCTACCCTACGAGACTGTAAGACAGTCTCTACAAGCAGCTCCTTAGCTACAAGATATAACTATACCATTAAACAGAACAAGACTGAGGGATTGTGGGTCATTGGGCCTGCACATCTGACTCAAAGGAGCATTGAATGGTGCGAATAGGAGGATAATAAGGGTTATGTTGCCGAGACAAGAGTCGGAGAATAACAGAGTGTGGGTGAGAGGAGTGTGATGATAGTGGTTCCTTTTTACATCAGTGCACTGGAGCGCACACAAAGCTCAAAAGCTCGTAGTGTGGTCTGAAAACAGAAATGCAGATGGAAAAAATGTGGAAGAAAAAAGCTTTAATAGAGAGGCTGCTGGCCACGGTTTGACCACAGGGACAATAATTTGCACTTGTGCCATCTGTTTAAGATCGATGGGAGATGAAGCTTGCTACATTCCCTTTATGTTCATTCTTGGAGGTCCTGCTCTGAGCACAGACCTTGACAGGAGAAGAAGAAAGAGCGAGAGACAAGAGACGTTCAGGAAGAAAAGGATTTCACCCTGGACATGAGAAAGTGTCCATTTTCCCTCAGTGGCACGGTGCCTTTTTCACGGTTAGGAATGGTAGCTTTATTTATACACAAAACACTGAAGTCAAACTGCAGCATCTGTGGCTAATGAGAAAAACACATTTCCCAGCTGAACAGCAGTTGTAAACAGAACGCTTTAAATACAGAAAAAATTGCAGACCCACCGGCACGAGAAGTGTTCAGAGAGCAGTGGAAAGCGACCATAAATTCAATCCATAATCACTCTCTCTGTGGCTGCCTGCTATTCAGGCCTTCAGAGAACAGATGACTCTAACAGAGAGGTCCGTTCACATATGTGTTAGCGGGCTGGGCGACCCCTCCGTCGTCAATAATACTCAATATTGTGAAGGCAGTTTTCCAGCTGTTTGGTAACTGACGTGTACGCTGTTTTATTTTATTTATTTTCTTCACCACAACAAAGTCCCCTAACTGTGCCGAGCTTTCATACATCATGGTGAAGGTGGAACGATAGCAAAAGGTCAGGACCTATCATTGGATTTCCTTTGGTGGTTATTTAACAACAAAAGCAGCGCCTTATGAAGATCAATACCTTGTGCAGTCGTCTCAGACCCAGGGCTTCGGTTCTTTGCCGAAGGGAACGTATTAAAGAACAATAAGCTCTTTCAGCGCAATCCGTTACCTGTGATCATGGCTGCGGGGGGACTGAGTTGGTCAGCAGAGACTTAAAGACGGACAGAAGTTTTGCACCAAGATGAGATATTGACCAAATGAATACGTAACCTAGCCTTACTTAAGAATGGACGACCACATCACAGTAATGGAGTGAGGTGGAATCATTTGGAGACAGGATTCAGGATTTCAACTGTGGTCATTTGTACACGCCATTTTTGTTGTCTGGTTGTTTCATTTATTGACATATTTCTCCTAGTCAGAGATAGATTAGTCTTACGATATCAGTGACAGCACTATTTAAAACTCAGCATTTCGATGGTTCGTGGCTTTCATGACGTTTGATCTGCTCTTTATACTCCTGTCAGAACGCCAAGGTTCAAGAGGCTCTGACCAGGGTGTGAAAGGTCACAGAGGTCGGTGATGAGCTTGTGATGTCAACTTGCGGGGGTAGAGGAAAGCTGATGATTTTCTCGTCTGTCCTAATCAACACCTGCAGCGTTTTCCTGTATCTGCTGATACACAGAGAACTGAACTAGGATGCTGTGGTTGTTAGTTGTTCTGGTTTTAAAACACTGTCATCCTGACTGGAGGACTGGAGTTAGATCAAAAAGGCAGAAGAATTATGTTGTTTGTCTTCATCATAATAATTTTGTAAAAGCTATTTTGTTTTGAACCTGGGACCTGGCATGGCTGTTATTTTACTTCATTGTCCAAATATTTCTAACCATAAATCCTACAAATACATCAGTAGTATAAAGCCAATGTTGTTTTGAAGATACTTTATTCGGACTTTGCCGTTCCGTGGCTGCGGTGTTACTGAGCCCAGTTGGGTTTTTATGAATGCTGTATGATCTGTCAGGTGCAGTAGCTTATTGCCCCGGGGCTCGAGCAGCAAGGCTGTGGTGGTCTCTGCTAATGATGCCCCCATCTTTGCGGCCTATAAGGTCAACTTAATATCATGGTGTCATACTAAGTACACCAGCAAGAGAAGAAGCACGAGGATTTGAGGTTTGAATGTAAATGAAAAGCAATCATTTATCTTCAGATGGTCACAAAGGCTCATGGGATATTTACATGTAAATTGATGGATTTGCTCAGATTTATGATACAGTTTCAGGAATAGGAATCAATAGGACGCACTGTAGCTGAAGCGACATCTTCCATACACCTAGATGAATAAAACATTGCAAACGTACAACCGAAACGCATATAAAACCAGTAACAATAGGGTAAGAAAATGCATTTCTTGGCAGCATTGATGACCTCACAGCATATGTCAGGAATGTGATGCTACTAGCAGAGCACTGAGCATACAAGATGATCTGAGCCGTGGAAATGAGTGACATATGGCCGAGGAGACTGACACATCGCCACCTGCTGACGTGCCTTTTGACATACATTAATTCCCAAGTTGACGGCAGCTGCTGTTGAATGACTGATGCAGGCAGGCCAACTAATTATGTCAGCTGACATAGTTCTGGGCATATTTCACCGCTACAGGCGCCTCCTGGTTAATTTATTGTTACTTACAATATTATTATGGCTCCAACAAATATTTTTTAAGGAGAGAAGGTTTCAATTTGAAATGTGTAAAAACAATTCCATTACAGTTCCGTTACAAAAACATAAAGTACTATAATAGCCAGTCCATCACCTGTGTGTACTTTTACTGCTTTTATTTTAAAAAACCACTGTAACTTCCTCTGCCCCTGAGGCTGTGAGAGAACTCTGTCCCCGTGCGTCTGAGGTGTTGCTGGATTAATCAGCCCTTCATCCAGCTCGGCCTTACACCTCCTAACCTGACACGCGACACCTGCAGATCTGTCAACGGGCCAAAGTCCCTTTATCACACCTTTGGATCGACTACACTCATTCAGGGTGAGCAGCGGAGGAGAGGAGGAACCCAGAGAATGACAGCTTGGTGTTATTACTCTGCTTCAGTTCTGTGTCGGGGAGAGGTTAATCCTTGACAACAAAAATGACCGCCATGTGAGCTGAAGCACTTCTGCACCGTGACAAATTAAAATCTCAACTTCAGGACGATGTGAAGGGATAGCTCTGAGCAAAAAAACAAAACATAACTTGAATATGAACTGGTTTTGCCGACACAGGTGACGCTGACGCACTGATATGAACGTACGTCTGGGTTTGATTTTTAGTGGAGGACGTGGTCAGATGTTTTGTGAACACAGAGAACGGTCTGTTGATCCTTTCAGTTTGAAATAAGCGCTGACAGACGAGACAGTTGAGATGAGCACTGGTGAGATATTGGCGGACTCGGAGCTTTGGCAGAAACTCAATAGAGCTTTAATAACCAGCAGTCAGGGCCACAGTGGCTTACAGCAGAGCCAGGCTTTTCATTCGTCTGACCTTCAGTAGAGTGAGAGGCGGCAGGATTGCACATCTGACCTGTGAGTACTCCATCACATCATGGGGTCAGAGGTCTATGGATGTCAGAGATCTAACGGCAGATTCTTTATCAAGAAACATCGTCGTTCGTGAAATCCTGATCTCATAAATGTTCCGAGCGTGCGAGCAGCAGCACCAACAGATAGATTTTGGTTTCACTGAAGGTTCTTCATATCATTTCAACGACCAGAAGCGTATTCTTCATATCATTTCAACGACCAGAAGCATATGTAATTGTGAGTCATAGATGCGGCGGTACTATGCTAACTTTGCTAACTCAGTTCCAGCAGTCTGGCCTTGTTTTTTAAGGTACACTGCTTGGGAAATCAACGCCACATGAACCAGAGCCACTCTTGCTTGAGATTCATGAGGCAGCATCACAGACTGGGACAACGTACTACACATTAATTAACACCTGGCCTCATTATCTGTCCCACGTGTCCCACTGGGGTAAAATCTAATACTTCTTATCGTTTATGGGGAGCGGAGAGAAGAGCTGGGAGCATTTGGTTTTTATTAGAAATCGATCTGATTTTGTACTTGTAAGAGAGAAATGTGGATGTGGGGAGGTTCATATGTAACCTATACATATGTGTTTGTTGTTTTGGTGCATCTGTGTGTGCAGAGTAAACACCTATTTATTTTTCTCCTGTGTGGTTATGTGTGAGTCAGAGAAAAAGCAAGAAAACAGAGAGACCCTGAGCGCAGTTGTTGTATGGATTAGATTCCCTCTGATGTCAGGATCCAATAAAGAGCTTCATCGTTGCCATAATGAAAGGATGTTTTACCCCTGCCCTCAGCAGCAGCTGCTTTCCATCGCAGCGACAGGACGAAACATCCGGGGTTAAATTGGATGTCTTTCTTTTCAAGAATCTTCAGACAAAAATTGAAAAATATCCATTTTATGAAAATTACAAAGTCTTTCACCGCAGCGAGCTGTGTCGCCATCATATAATCCCTCACCAGAGAATTTTCATTTTCAGAACTCACTCCTCGCCGCGTCTAAAGACTAAAGACTGACATCCGGTCCCTTTCAAATGTTCTTTCAATGTTGTGGATAGGTATAAATAATCACTGGTCAAATAATACCTAACACAGCTCAATGTTTGAAGGAGATAAAACACGTCAGGAACCAGTCAAAGCTGGTTTTATGATTTTTTTTTTTACATAACACTCTGTTAAAAATTGTAAATTTTTGACTGAAATTTCTTTGGAAAACCAACTTTCCAATCATCACAGCTGAACAGTACAGTTCACTGTTTTCACTGCTGTAATATTTATTGACAGAAACACACAGGTTTAATTTTGTAGCATTCTGACCAGATATTTGGTTGCACTAGCTTCCAATTCACTGCAGCATCTTGCTATAATATCATGTTTATAAAAGAAACTAATTTGATCTGGTGACAAAGTCCCAGGAGTAAATTTCCAAAAAAACTAGAAAAAGTTTTTATGTAAAAACCAAGGTTACTTTTTGACTTCTTCATGATACAAAACAACATCAATAACATTAACAAATCAAACAAATGATCTAAATGTATATGGTTTCACTATTGAGTACAATAGAAGTGAATGAAATGTCAAATTAGCAGACTAGGTAACTTTAAATATTCCAATTAGTGCGGGACCGAAGGATTCAGTGGAACTGAACCTGTGTTGTTGTCCAGCGACGGTGAGATGCAGATGAATAGAACAGAGGTGGGAGTGTAATTGCTGCTCTGTTGGTCTGTGTGTTCACAGCTCACGGTGTGTGTGTACTTCATTTTTCATTTATTTCATCTCCCATAGTTATGAGAGCCTTTTATTAATTTGAAATGCCAAAGAAAGGGTGGAAAAAAGCATTAGTGAAATGTCAGCCTTTTACCGTGCATGATAAAATCGTACCAGCCATTTCTGGCCACTGTTTCCCTTTGTGCTTCCACATCCCCACGTCAACTCTGCACTTCTCTCCGCAGCACATTCTCCTTCACTCTTTCTCAGAGATCAATATGGCCTGACATACAGTAATGATGGCTTAGTTTCCTGTAGGGGGCTAGGCAGAACATTTGCCAGTCATCTGCCGCCTATGTCTCCATATATATATATATATGTACATGCAAATATATGTATATATACATACATATATGCAGTAAAAGTGAGTAAAACACCATAAAATGTATATATATTTATGTGTATATATTTATATATTTTATTATATATTTGTTATAAAACACAGTGAACAGAGGCATTGTCAAAGAAGACAGGAGCAGTTATAGCACCAGAGGTCTAACAGGCCTCTGTTTGTATGAGGTAAGAACTGAGCAAGAGCTGTTAAATGAACAACAGATAACAGGTAATTCAGAGGCAGTCACTCTCAGCCTGTTGTTCTTGTACTTTTAGTAATCATTTCATCTATGTAACCTGTAGCTACAGAGATAAAGTCTCTTTATCTGAGTAGTTATACGTCCCATTACGAACAGCATTTCAATGTTAAGTTGTCCAGAAAGACTGTGTCTGGTCTAAGCCCAGAGCTCATCACTTCCCATTAGATCCAAATACAATATTCATGTCTTTGTATTTATAACCGGCCGAGAATGAAGCCGTCACACAGAGCGGGGAATAATGTGGATAAACAAATCTCCGTCTGTCAAGTGCTCACCTAATGTGGAGCATTCATCCAGCGTAGATATGAGGCTCCATCCACCGACAGAAAACAAGTGATGGAGCAGATTAAGAAAGCCAGGAGCCAAAGCAGGTCGAAC